ATAAACAAAAATGTACATATCAGGACATACATTTTTCCTTTGGCCTCAGGCTGCAACATGGCTTAGCGCAGCACTAGATCTGTTACTTAGGAATGTATTCAGTGGATTTCTCTGCATACGCTATGGCAAAGTAGGAATTTTTCATGAGCAAGATTCTTCAGCAGATACCCCTCCCTGGATAAGGGGACAGCTGTTATGGTCCCGGGTGACCAGTATAACTCTTTGATACTTTCCTTTTTCAAGTACTTGTGCATCTTTTGGGGTTGGTGTGGGGACACGGAGCACCTGGAGCTGCAGGCTTCGTTTCCTCCCACTGCCTCTCCATCAGTCGCTTGTGGCCTGTCACTGTTTTAACTTTTTCATTTATTGTGAATTTCAGTGGAAATTCTTTAGTATTTGTACTTCTGGGTAGGAAAAGTTATGTCTGATTTATTATTTGTTTAAATGGTTTTCATTTCCCTTTTCCTGTGTTATTTACTATGTCGGTAAAGTTTGGAATGAGATTTATCAAAGTAAAGGAATGTTTACAAACAAATAAGAGAGCCCCACATTCGCCAGATAGCAATGGTTCTAAGGATTGGATATACATTGTGAGTTCCAGTACCAAACTGTTTAGCCACTGAAGACTATCTTCTGTTTATATAAATCCACCTAATGCCACTACATATTTTTGCATTTTCTAAGCTGCATTCATAGCCATTGCTTTTGTTTTTAAAAGCTTCTACATTTCTACCTTTTTACTCTTAAGATATATACCTCCTCCACCACCTCTAAGAATTGTTTTCTCCAGGCCTCAGGCCTCCAGTGTCTCCTGCTCTACCCACTCAAGTAACAGCAGTAGTGTGTGCTGTTGCTACAAGAAGGTGGATGCAGTCTCAGGCTGTCTGGTAGTCACATCAAAGGAACAGATTCCCTCACTTCACTCTGGCCTGGAGTTTTGGAGTTCATTCTACCCGTACATTGTAGGAGAGACACTGATCAATTGGGCAGCTTGCAGAAGAGATTTGAATGTGGAAGAAATATTGACTGAACCTGAGGCTACTCACCCGGGGGGAGAACATGAGATCTGTCTTCAAATAATTAAAGGACTTAAAAAGTTAGACATATTCTAAGGAGCTCCTAGTAACAGTGGCACTTGTGGAAAGGGCAGGTGAGGTATAGGAAAGGAAAATTTTGCTCGTTATGTGGACTTTTTCCTCTAAAATCAAAGCTATCCAAAGGTAGAATCATTTATTTTATAAAGTAATAAAGGCCTTTCTCATCTGTCAGCCTTCCTTTTGACTCAGAGTCTGTGGCTACAGTGTTTCATCTTTGACAAGGTTGAAGTGCCAGTGCGGGACACACCACCATGCGACTATACTGAAGGATTCTTTTTCATAATACGGAATCCTCCTCCTATTACTAGAAAACTGACTCAGGCAACAATTTCAGAGATGCTTTAGGGTCAAATCTTGTCCTTTCAATGGGAAGAACATGTAAAATTATCAGTGCCACATGCCAAATGTTGTATTTATCCAATTGTCTTTCTAGTGGAGTGTGTGGTTTATTCTGGCAACTATATCTTATAACCATTTTCTATACAGCCAGGGTACATTGAAAGGAGAATTAGCAGGACAATAGCACACCAAGGATCCCATTGTTCTGATGAGTTACCTGATGTAGAAATGTTTCCACTTCCAAACAGGCTGTATTCCAAAGGCTGTTCTTAAATCTGTCTAGTGCGATGACAGTAGACATACAATCTTGAACGACCCTCTTGGTTACGGGCAGCACCGACTGGCTTTTGCTCTGGTATGTGTCTTTGTTGTCATCCAGGAAGTTCAAAATTTGAGAATTAGGCAGAGAAGCTTCTATACAGGTTTTAGGCTAGTCAATAAAATGGTAGGAAAGGAAGCAGGGATTAGGAGCAAAGAGAGAAGGGGTTTTTTATTTTTCTGGGTGCTTTTCAGCACTAGATTGGTGGTTTTGGCTACATATATCTCTAAAAGTCACCTCTGGTTTCTGTCCCATTCCAGACCAGAAGGAAGAAGGAAAGGGTGATTCCTAAGGCACAACAGGGTTATACCAAAAAAGTGTAAGATTTCCACCCTACCCATGATACATGTACATAAGGAGGGAATCAATCCGTTCCACTACTCTTTCTTACTCTAAACTGCCAAAACACCGTATCACAGCTCTGTCTACTTACTTCATCCAGGGCCAGAGATGCTGATGGCTGATACATTCAGTAAATTTACATGGACACAAAGCTGACAGACCCTCTCTCTTACTTTTGGTGGGAGAAACTAGTTTACCTTTTAAGGCTTAATGATTTTTGATAATTTCTTCTCCATTCACCAGCAAGGCTCTGATATGTCTGAAAACATGATACATCAAACATGTTTATAAGCTATACACTGCAAATAAGAACTACCAGGGAGCTATTAATCATATTTTTTAAGTCTACCTAGTTCTTTCCCTTAGAGCCAAAACTGCTTGTTCAGTCAATTATCTCATAATCTGTTTCTATTCATGTAGGCTTTATTTAGTCTAAAATAAAGTCAGAAAATATATACAGCAGTGTTTACATTAAGATTATATTAAGAATTTGGTTTATCCACATGGGTAAGTGCCAGGGAATTCAAATTGCTCTCAGAAAGAAAAAGAAAGGAAGAGAAAAGATAAAAGAAAATTGGAGTTGGAGCTAAATCTGCCATTTTTGCTTACCCCCTCCATTCATTCTGCTTCAGCACTCAGTGAAATCAAGGAATCTTTTTCCTCAGAGATCTTTGACATATCTACAGTCCTGGACCCCATAATGACGTTTTGGTCGATGACAGACTCCACATATGATGGTGATCCCATAAGATTAAAATACTGTTTTTACTGTACCTTTTCTATGTTTAGATATATAAATACTTACCATTGTGTTACAGTTGCCTACAGTATTCGGTACAGTTATATACTGTACAGGTTTGCAGTAACAGCCATAGACTACACATTTATATGATGTATAGTCAGCTATACCATGAAGGTGTGTGCAAGTACACTCTCTTACGTTCACCCAAGGACCGAATCGCCTAACAATGCACCTCTCAGAACATGCCACCATCATTAAGCGACACATGATTCTACTTGCAATGGAGCCTGAAGAGATTTAAAGCCTTCTAATTTCCTGGGTGTCTTGTATTTAATGAGTTACATTATTGGGATTCTGACTAGCCATAATCAAGAAAGATGCTGGGAGACAAAGTAGGGAAGTAGGAGCAGAAACTTAGAGTCAGACAGCCCCTGCCCATTTTGTTTCTTTTTTTGGTGTGATTGACAAATTATTTACCCTCCGCATTTCAGTTTCCTCATCTGTTAAAAACATAACAAAACAAAACAAACACAAAACTAACTAAAACTGTGGCCATTTGTGAGGACTGAAAAACGTAATATACTGTAATATAAGGCCCCTAGCACAGTGCCTGGCACATGGTAAATGTTCAAAGAACTGTTAGATGAAAAAAGGATTTTCCCCAAACATCTAATCATCAAAAACAAAACAAAACATAAAAACTCCACTTGATTAGCACAGAATCATAGAACTCTGTTTCTAGAAGGGATTGTTGCACACGATCTAGTCTGGCAGTTTGCAAGTTTTTTTAAAAGCTAGTATTCTTTGAACAGAATATTAAGAGGAACTTGATGCATTAAGGAAATAATGGCAGGCTGGGTGTGGTGGCTCATGTCTGTAACCCTAGAACTTTGTGAGGCCAAGATGGGAGGATTGCTTGAGGCCAGGAGTTCAAGACCAGCCTGGTCAACATAGTGAGACCCCCATTTAAAAATAATAATAATAATAATGGCAGAGTTGGAGGAGTAGGCAAAGCTCTCCCTTGGTTTCCTCATATCTCCATTCCCTTGGAAGATCTGGAAGCATCTGACGACTTCTACAGCACAGTTTGAAAAACGAAAATCTGGTCCAATGCCACTATTTCACCAATGAGGGAATGGCCCAGAAACATGAAGTTGTATTTTCAGTGGTATGACCACACTGCAGCCTGAATTTATCTTCCCCTACAGCATCATGAGAAAGAATAACCAAGACCGTAGCATGTGGGACTATATGGCCAAACACTACAGAGAAGCTTTAAAAGACCTAGAGCTTTAGTTCATCCTGTGTGCGCCTTGTTTTCCTCTATAGATGGTAGATGATAATCTTTCGTGTGGCCCATTTCCATTTTCATGTTTGTTTTTCAACTGTTTCTGGTGTCACTTAAAGTATATCCTGTGAGATTCCAGTACTTTCTAACAGCCTTGAGGACAATTAGCAGCTGCATAGATTTCCTTGAAACAACTTCGCCCCCTCCTGTACCCTCTTTTTTTGCCTTCTGTGGTCCTATTGATGCTAAATAAAATGCTACAATTTCTAAATGTTTTTATATTAAGGGCATTTACCAGCAACCTCTTCACTAGTGTGTCCTCTCAGGCATTCTGCAGTACAGAAATGTAAACAACAAAGCTGACTCAATGAAAGCCTGAAGTCAATGTATTTTCTTTTTGAGATAAGTCTATGTTTGTACAAACAACCTCTGACTTTATTTGGAAAAGAAAAGAGATATAATACAGTTTATGACTGCTGGGCTCTTTCCAAATGTGGCTAATTTCCTGTTAGGTTATTCACGTGTCTTTATGTTCTTGTGGAAAGCATAAGGTCTTTTACTTTTGGAAAAGAGGAAAGTTGAGTTGGGGCTAAGGGAAGAGGCAGGTTTCTTTTTCAAAAAAAATTTTTATTATTTATTTTATAATATTTCTCCTCCCCTCAGCCCCACTAGAATGTCAGCTCTGTGAGGTCAGGGATTTAAGGCAGAAGAATGTAAATGCCCAACCTAAAATACAAGATCTACAAAAGCACCTGAATGAAGAGCCTGCCTCATGGGAAGGGCAGGGCTGTCCTGGGAAGAATCAGCTGCACTTTGGCACCTTCTGAGGTGCCTGTCCAAGCCTGACCTGAATGGGACTGGTCATGTGAGGGGTCAGTCCTGCAGGCCACACTCACACCTCTTCTCCAGATCTGCCATCTCCTTTAGGACCAGGGCCATGCTGTACCACAGCTCCTGGAACTTGGCTATGGGGACCTCGAAGCGGTCTATGGGGAAGCGGTCTATGGGGACCTCGAAGCGGTGTGCTAACCCATCTGAAAGCTTCAGCTGCATCAGGACGCTCAGTTGCAGGGAGTGAGCCAGGGCACTGGTGGAGATTGTCACATCCACCCACCACGGAAAGTCAGCAACATGGGGCAGCCAGGCCCCTGGCTGCTGGGCCACAGAATAAAGGATGGGTCGCTGGCTCCCAAATACGATGCTGGCCAAGTCCGCGACCAGGTCTTGGGGGATGCAGAGCTCCTGGAGCTGGTCCCTGAAGGTGTTGGGCTTCAGGCTGGTGGAGCGCAGATGGAGCAGCGTGTGCACGCCTGCCAGCAGGACACCCAGCCACTCCTCTGGCAGGTTGGCGCTGACCCCAAGACACTGCACAGCCTCTCGGCAGTCCTCCCCTTGCAGGCTGCTGACCACAAACCAGCAATTTTCTGAACGTGCTCCTGTTTAGGTCCCCTAGTAGCTGGGCCATTGCTGACACCTCTGGAGGAAGCTGGGCCCCCAAGAAACCCACTTGGCCACTGTGACTATCACCAGGATGATGCAGGTACAGAGCTGCAGCCCCCACAGCAGATACTGCTGCTGCTTCCTCCTTGATTAGCCAGCCCAGGGGGTCGGTCCCAGATGCAGATACCTGGTGCCAACGATCCCCAGTCGATGCAGCCAAAAGCGGGCCTGGTCCCGAGGCGAGATTCTTAATCACCATGAAAGTTGACCCAGGGCCCTAGTTTGCACTGGGCTCCTACTTGTGTGCGTCTCCATGTCACCTCTGGAATGGGGACTCCCTGAGGGCAGAAGCATATCCTTTAAGTCTCTCTCAAAGGTCTGCATATCCAACTCACAACCTAGCTTAGAGTTGGTGCTTGAAAACTATTTATTGACTGTTCACCCAAGAGACTTCCTAGATGCAAAGCAAGCATGTTGAAAAACTTGATTATTGTTGACTCCTATCTATGTTAAAGGAAAATATGTATTGCCATAGTATTCTACTGTTTAAAAGAAATATCTAGGCTGGGCATGGGGTCTCACACCTGTAAATCCAGCACTTTGGGAGGCCAAGGCATGTGGATCTCTTGAGGCCAGGAGTTCAAGACCAGCCTGGTCAACATGGCGAAACCCTGTCTCTACTAAAATACAAAAATTAGCCAGGCATGGTGGCATGCGCCTGTAATCCCAGCTACTCGGGAGGCTGAGGCAGGAGAATCACTTGAATCTGGGAGGTAGCGGTTACAGTGAGCAGAGATCGTGCCACTGTGCTCTAGCCTGGGCAACAGAGCAAGAGTCCATCTAAAAAAAAAAAAGAAAGAAATATCTAATGGAATAAAAGAATCCTATTAGAACAAAGCTTAAAGGCACCTTATAGGAGCTCTAGCTTTCAGTTTCTGGGCTAACAGAGCTAGACCAGAGACAATGAATTCAGTAACAAATACATGTAAGAATTATTCAGTGCCTAGTATGTAGTAAATGCAAATCTAAGAGCTTTATGTATCATATCTCATTTCATCCCCACAAGAGTTCTATGAAGTAGCCTGTGATTATCCCCATTTTACAGATGTGAAAACAGAGTCTGAAATCACTGGCCCGTAGTGGTGGGATTTGAACCCAGACAATGTGTCCAGAGCCCACTTAGCCACTGATGACCAACTGAGTGAAATGCGTACAGGAGACAACAGTGCATTTATCATAGTGAAAATATGAAAGGCTCAACAACACTATTTCCTCTCAGATGACTTAGTTGAAAGCTCTGATCTCCTACATTTTCTGAGTTTGGGAGAAAGATGGGGAAGAAAGATAAGAGCCATCACAGTATTAACTGTTTTTTTTTTTTCTTGTCCTGATCTACAAGAATTTTATAAATCACTGATCTATTTAATTTTCTTAACAAATTACATTTTTTGGAGTTACTTTAGGCATTTCCCAGATACTTTCCAAATGATTCTTACCACACCAATGTGAGGACGTTAAAGGTGAACATTATTCCTACTGGCATGTGTGGAAAAACAGAGGCACGAGGAGGCCATGGGGCTTGCCCAAGGTCCTGTCAGTTACTCCAGAGTGGACATTAAACCATGGCTTTCTGAATCGTAGCTCAATTCGCCATGCACTGGCAGCACTGTCTCATGTCTACCATAAGCATAAGTCTTTCATGTGCTGGGAGGCAAAAGTGAGCCTTCTTGTTCTCTTTTAGGTGTGTGGATGGCTCCTAGATCTCGACTTGCTCCTGATGAAATACTGTGTGACTGAGTTTCCTGTTATACTGCTCTCCAATCGACCATGAACCAGCCAGAGTCTGCCAATGACCCTGAAGCCCTGTGTGCAGTGTGCGGCCAAGCCCACTCCCTGGAGGAAAACCACTTCTACAGCTACCCGGAGGATGTGGATGACGACCTCATCTGCCACATCTGCCTGCAGGCTTTGCTGGACCCCCTGGACACTCCATGTGGACACACCTACTGCACCCTCTGCCTCACCAACTTCCTGGTGGAGAAGGACTTCTGCCCCATGGACCGCAAGTCTCTGGTTCTGCAGCACTGCAAGAAGTCCAGCATCCTGGTCAACAAACTCCTCAACAAGCTGCTGGTGACCTGCCCGTTTAGGGAGCACTGCGCCCAGGTATTGCAGCGCTGCGACCTCGAGCATCACTTTCAAACCAGGTAGGTCCCCCACCAGTGAGCTGGGAAGCCCCGCCCCCAAGGGGGACAGCTGGACCCCTCCACCCCCCAGTCTCCTGAGAGGTTGCAACCAACAAAATGATCCATTCAAAATAAAAAAACATATAGGTGTTTATGGTCATGGTTCAGTGTGAGGAAATAGCATTTGGTGGAGTTGTGTTGTGTGTGTGTTTTTAAGGGATTTTTTTTTAATTGTAATAAAATGTAACATAAAGTTTACCATTTTTAACCACTATGAGTATACAGTTCAGTGGTATTAAGTACTTTCATGTATTGTGCAACTATCACCACCATCCATCTCTAGAAATGTTTCATCTTCCATAATGAAAACTCCATACCCATTAAACACAAACTCCCCATTCCACCTTCCCCCAGTCCCTGGCAGCCACCATTCCACTTTTTGTCTCCATGAATATGCTCTAAGTGCTTCATATCAATGACATCATATGGTATTTTTTTTTTCGACCAGCTCATCTCATGTGTGTATGTTGTGAAATGTGAAATATGCCAGAGAGGGCATATGAGCAGCTTTCTCTGAGGCTCATGAGTCGCAGAAGTATTTCCTGATAGGTGCTGCTTGCTTTTTCACTTACGAAAAAAAAGGTGCCCCAGTTTGACCCTTGATTATTAGAATTTCCTCTGTATTGGAATTGACAAGGCACAACTGTCCTTTGAGAAGGTATGAGGTGTTCTCAATTAAGTTTTAAAAGGAGAAATTTAGGAGATTTTTGTCCTCCAAGCAATTTGTTCTGCTAACTTTGTGGCCAAGTTGCTAAGTTGTGCATGCACACACACGCCCACCCACACACTGCACCTACACCGGTGGCAGAATTCTGCTGTGATTGCCGCTGCTGATGGCTAACATCACCTGTTCCATCTGGCTGCCTCTTATTTTGTCCACTTACATTGTCATGTCCCTGGGCATGAGAATATTTAAAGTGCTTAATAAAGGGGGAACAATCACACCACAATTATTTTGTAACAGGAAATTTGGAAGCTGGTGTTTATCCTGGTTCCTGTCATGACAAGGGCAGGAGGCAGGTGCAGGTATTTTTTTTTTAAAGGTTACATACCTTAGGTCATGAATCTAAGTCTTTGTCTTTTGGGACTTGCATGTATTCTCTAACATGGAAGTTTGCATCAAAAGCAATGGCCTGGGTGTAGTGCTTAGCATGTGTTTTCCACACTCATTATGTCAGTGAATTCATTTTTCTCCCCAAGATGTTGAGCCAGATGCTTCCACCTCAGGTTTTTGGGTTGCAGCTGTTATTGCTGGTGTTTAAACTAGGATGCCCTACCTCCCTCATTCCCCAGAAGTAGATGTGGTTAAAGGAGGAGTAGGTAGGGTAGTCTATTTGTGACCTTTGCTGAAAGTTTTGCCTAGGTATGAGAGACGTTGGTGGGAAAGAAGCAGGTCTGGAGTCAAAGGTGAGGTAGATGCCAACAGGAGTTGGCACAGAGCCATGTTCAAGAGTGGGGGCCACACTGGGCAGGGGGATGAGGGGAACAAGTAGGAGAAAGAACCCAGTAGAGCTCCCTCCACCCTCACCATGGTCCCGTGTTCCTGATATTTGCAGCTATACATTTGTGCTGGGGAGCTGTGTTCATTTCTTGTTGCTGCTGTAACAAATCACAAACTTAGTGACTTAAACCAAATTACTGGGTGCACTGGCTCACACCTGTAATCCTAGCACTTTGAGAGGCTGAGGCAGGAGGATCACTTGAGTCCAGGATCTTGAGACCAGCCTGGACAACATAGCAAGACCCCATCTCTATAAAAAATTTAAAAATTAGACCTGGTGATGTGTGCCTGCAGTTTTAGTGATTCAGGAGGCTAAGGTGGGAGGATTGCTTGAGCCTGGGAGTTGAGGTTGAAGTGAGCTGTGATGCGCCACTGCACTCCAGCCTAAGTGACAAAGAGAGACTGTCTCAAAAAAAGAAAAAACAAATTTGTTATCATACAGTTTGGAGGGTCAGAAGTCTAACATGCGTCTCGGTGGACTAACATTGAGGTGTCAGCAGGGTAGTATTCCTGTTGGCTTCAGGGCAGAATCCCTTTCCTTGCCTCTTCCGGCTTCTAGTGCTGCCTGTCTTCCTTGGCTCATGGCCCCTTCTTCCATCTTCAGAGCCAGCCGCATAGCATCTTCCAGGCTCTCTCTGGCTTCTGCTTCCATCCTCACATCTCCTTCTGTGACTCTGAGCCTCCTGCCTCCCTCCTATAAGAACTCATGTGATTACCTTGGGCCCACCTGGATAATCCAAGATGGCTCCTTCATCTCAAGATTCTTAATTTATGTGGGGCATGGAGGCTCACACCTGTAATCCCAGCACTTTGGGAGGTGGAGACGGGCAGATCACTTGAGATCAGGAGTTTGAGACCAATTTAGCTAACATAGTGAAACCCTGTCTCTACTAAAAATATAAAAATTAGCTGGGCATGGTGGCCTAAGCCTACAATCCCAGCTACTTGGGAGGCTGAGGCATGAGAATCACTTGAACCCGGGAGGCAGAGGCTGCCGTAAGCCAAGATTGCACCACTGCACTCCAGCCTGGGCAACAGAGCAAGACTCCATCTCAAAAAAAAAAAAAAAAAAAAAAAAAAGATTCTTAATTACATCTGCAAAGTCCCTTTTGCCATATGAAGTGATATACTCAGAGGTTCTGAAGATTAGGAGCTGGACATCTTTGGGGAATAATTATTCTGCCCACCCCAGGAGTAAGAGTGGGGAGACAGAAGACAGTATTGGAGGCATCCTCTGGGGAGAAAGTCAAAACCCAGCCACTCCTCCTCATTCCCTCATCCAGGACTGTTTTGGGGCTGAGAGTGCTTCTAAAAATAGGGAGAAGATAGTGCATGGATCCGAGGGTTAGGCCAGAAGGGAGGTGGGGAAGGGGAAGGGCTAGGAGGAGACTGTTGGAAGTCTGTGAGGTCTTCAGGAGAAAGATGACACAGGTACCCCTCAGCTGCCTGAAGCAGACTGGGAATTTCATTCACCCTTAGCCCATGCAGCCCGTGTGACCCACACACGCCTCG